GTCTCCACGTTTGGGGCCGACCATGTCTGTGTACACCACACTGCCTGTCGAGTGTACGCCACGATGTTTTGAACACCATAGCTGCTTGGGTACACCGCAGCGCATGTTTACACAACAGTGATTGCGTACACCACAAAGCTAGTGTACACTACAGCAGCCGTGTTCACAACAGCGCACGTGGACACCACAGTGCCTGCGTACACTGCGACACTTATGTGTACCACGGTTGCTGCTTCAGCACGATATGTGTGGACCACAGCTCTGGTGCACCGAAGTGCCGGTACCGGTATACACCACAGGACAAAATGCGTACACTTCCAAAGCCCCGCAAGGACCGATGTCGAGAAAATCGTGGGGGATCCGAACGTATCAAATCCAACACATATGGTACATGTGATTATTGTTTTTTGCGGCGAAGGGAACGGTTCCGAGTTTTGGGCCTACAACGTGCACCGTAGCACTGTAGCGACCGTTAGCACAACAGCGGGTGCGTACACCGCAGCACCTGTGTACACATGGTGTGGTACACCGCAATGGCCGCGCTTCACAATGCTCTGCACTCCACTATGCATGGGATGCTGCCGCGTAGCTGTCGTTGCAACATCAATTGCGTGCACCAGAACACTTGTCTACATTATAGTGATTGGGGGCATCACTTGCCTGCGTGGACCGCGAAGCTTGCGTGCACCTAACCTGGCGTACACCACAACGCCTGCGTACACAACAGATCCTGCTGCAACAACAACGACAACAACACATGCGTGCACCAAATCGCCTTGGTGACTGTGCACAACGCAATGCCTGTGCACGCGCTGCTCACGTGCACCTCCGGATGCCTATGGACGACGTCGATCACTAGTCGATGTCATCGTCGTCGTCGTCGTCGTCGTTGTTGCCTCCCCCTGCCACTCCAAACCCCAACGCTTCACCAACGCGCATCCAAACACCAACATGCTCTTGCGCACACCAAGGCGCCGCTGAACACAACGTTCCCTGCGAACTCGCTCCGCCCCCCCTGGCAGTGCACAACCGACAAAATTACGTTATCCTGGGGGGCGGGGGCGAGGCCGACAAACCGGGTGATCGCCGGACCCGAAATTACTTCGACGATCGGGCCCCACGCGGGAATCTATAATTTAGCTTGCCTATCGTTTTTCCCCCTTCGCCTTGGTGGAGGCTCCCCTCCCACTTTCTGTTGCGCCTCCTACTCCTCGTCATGGTCATCCTCCGTCTCCTCCTCTTCCTTCTCCTCCTCCTCCTCCTCCTCCTCGTCTCCTTCTCTTCCTCCTCCTCCTCCTCCTCCTACTCTTCCTCCTCCATTCCCTCTCCTTATAACTCCTCCCTGTCGCACCCCGAAGCCGGTTTTTACGGCGGGCTGGGCGTTTCGCCTGAAACTTCCTCACCACTTATGACTCCGAAGCTTTAAAAATGTCAACAGTTTCACAGATGGAGGGCGGGTGGTTTTCAGAATGTGGCTCTCGCGTCAGCGCCGCGCGCATTCCTTTTCAAAATTGGCAGAAGTTTCACGGATTCAGGGCGGGCCGTTTTCAAAATGTGGCTCTCGCCCCAGCGCCGCGTACATTCAACATTTGCAAGAGCTTCACGGATTCAGGGCGGGTCGTTTTCGAAATTTGGCTTTCACCCCAGCGCCGCGCACATCCGATTTCAAAATTGGCAAAAGTTTCACGGATTCAGGGCGGGCCGTTTTCAAAATGTGGCCCTCGCCTGAGCGCCGCGCACATTCGTTTTCAAATTGTTCAAGAGCTCCTCGGATTCAGGGCGGGTCGTTTTCAAAATGTGGCTCTCGCCCCAACGCCGCGCACAGTCGTTTTCAACATTGGCAAGAGTTTGACGAATTCAGTGCGGGTCGTTTTCAAAATGCGGCTCTCGCCTAAGCGCCGCGCGCATTCGCTTTCAAAATTTGCAAGGGTTTCACGGATTGATGGCGGGTCTCGTTTTCAAAATGTGGCCCTCGCTTGAGCGCCGCGCACAATCGTTTTCAACAGTTGCAAAGCGTTCCACGGATTCCCATCATCAACGTACCGATCATGGTGTTGGAAGGATTCAGGACTATGCGGGTGCAACGTTTCTGCTGATTCGCGGTGTCGAAGTCTCAGAAATGGCGTCATGGCGCGATTCTGGATCGTCAAGACGCAACAGTCAGTTGATACGTGGCGTTGAAATCCCGGCAACTATGTTTTGGCATGCTTCAGGATCTTCAAACGATTGTCTTTCGACGAGGCAGTTCCCTCAATGGAATTGAACCGCTGTGGGGGCCTATGAAGAGGGAGCTTCGAGGTATGGTTATTTCCAACGTCGTCGATTACTCTTGGGTTTGCTTTGGTCCCCCTCCTGCTCCTCCTCCTCGTCCTCCTCCTCCTCCTGCACCTCCCCCCCGTCCCTCCTCCTTTTCCTCCTCCTGTTCTTCCTCCTCCTCCTCCTCCTCCTCCTCCTCCTCCTCCTCCTCCTCCTCCTCCTACTCTCTTTCCTCCTCGCCATCCCACGCATTCTCCCTGATGTATTATCCTCTTGCCTGTTCCCCCCGCGCACCTCCCCTGGCTCGTGGCCAAGGCAAATCGAAGTTCCTCGGCGCCGATGGCCGGGTCGCCAAGCAGTCGGGGCAACCCCGCGGGCGAGGCCGTCGGGTCAACCCCACGAGCCGCTGGGGTGCGGGAGCCAGCCGCTGGGACAACCCCGCAGGTCTCGAGCTCATCGCGGCCGCGCTCAGGCGGGAGGCAGCTTGCAGTCCAGCTCTGCCGCGAGCTGCTCCGCCTTATCCGTGGAGTTCATCGCTCTCTTGTCGAACTCGTCGAGCGGCGGCCCGCGCTCCGGGAAGTCTCGCGTGGGCGGCCCCATGATCAGCATGTGTCGCACGCGCTTTGCGCGGAAGAGCATGACGCAGAGGTGCAGCCACCGCTGCTCGTCCGACGTACCCGTGCGACCAGCGTCGGCATCCTTGGCGCAGTCGACGGCGGCGCCCTCGCGCAGCGTCTGGCCCTGCAAAAGCGTGGAGGACGCGCGCGTCAGCGTGAACCCCAAGCGGCGCACGACGCGCGGCCCAAACTCTGCCATGTGAGCTCCTGCTCGCTGGGCCTGAACATGAGCCAGCTCCTCGCCCGTGCCTCGGCTTCGCCGTCGTCGTCAACGTCTTCAGCGCCCTGTAGCAGCAGCTCGGCGACCACCTGGTAGATCGGAGCCGTAGACACCCGAAGGGCACGCTGGTGGCGCACTCCTCCTGCACGATCTCCAAGTTCTTGTTCAGCTCCTCCTGAACCGCCGTGAACCGAGCCTCCATGCCGACCTGTGCCGGTAAGACGCGTGGATGTCCCCCGTCTTGTGCATGTTCGGGACGCTCAGGAGGCGCGGGCCCGCGTCTGGATCGCCTTCAATCAATCGCGCTGCACTTGTCGACCGCCCGCAAAGAGAACGAACGGCACGCCGAGACGCCGCTTGTCGCGACGAGTGCGCGTCTTAATCCACCTCACCCGCGTCAGAATTTTCTCGCCACCAACTCACAGACGAAACTTCCGCTAAATACTTCCTCCATATTCAGGCCTGCGGCGCCCAAAGCTCACGATAAATAGAAGTTTGTTGGATAACCCGCTCGGATTACTAGCATGAGCTGCGGAGCCCAAATGGAATGGGTTCCCGCCTCCGACTTCCTCGCAAGTCACTCGCGGACGAGGCTCCCACTAGAGATGTCCTCCACATTCAAGCCTGAAGAGCCCTAAACTGACGACAGTTACAACTTCTTAGATGGCCCGCTCGAATTACTGACGTGAGCTGCGGGCCCCATAGGGGGCTCCCTCCTGAGAGCTCCTCGCAATGCACTCACAGACAAGGCTCCCGCTCGATACTTCCTCCACATTCAGGCAGTAAAAGCCCAAAAGCGACGACAATCACAATCTGTTTATCTAATCCGCCCAGATGGCTCATTTGAGCTGCGGGCCACATAGAGAAGGGGCTCGCACCTGAAACTTCCTGGCAATTCACTCACAGACGAGGCTCCCACCCGAGACTACCTCGACATGTGTGTGTGTGTGAGAGTGAGTCGAGGAATGTGTGCAATGCTGATGCTGCTGGTGATGACTATGACGGGGTGGTGACGATGCTGGTGATGGCGGGCGATGGTCGATGATCCTGATGAGATTGTGATAATGATGATACTGATGACGATTGTGTTGTGGTAGTGAAGATGGTGATGACGATGATGACGAGGAGAAGGAGAAGGAGTGGTAAGTGATAGTGATGAATGACTGAACAGGTGAATAATGCGCGAGTGAACGATTACATGTGATGATGCTTATTCTGATGCTGATGCGAATGATGATGATGATGATGATGATGATGATGATGATGATGATGATGATGGTGATGATGATGATGATGATGATGAGGAGGCGGAGGAGGAGGAGGAGGAGGAGGAAGACGTAATGATGGAGGGATGGGGGCGAGTGGGAGTACTTCGCGGGGTGCCCAGAGAAAACACGAACCCCACTTAGGATGCGGGGGAAAAGCGCCCCTACCATGCCACGAACCTGCCTGGGCAGGGCGTGGTACTACTGTTCATCAATGCGGCCATGTGCCAAAGCGGATCTCCTCACGCCACCGCCGCGCTGATGTTACGCTTCCAAAATGTTGGCCCCTCGCGCCCACCCACTCCCGGCGCACCCCTGGAGATTTCCGTCCAAGCGATCCCTGCTGCGAGCTACCCGACAGTAGTCTTGGAACAACAACTGACGAGCTCCAAGCCGTCGCAGCGCAGAGGACGGAGCAGAAACAAAGCAAGACCGAGCGTGGGAAACCAAGAGCCAAATCCGCGCGGAGCTGCGAAAGCTTTACCAGCCTGGAACATATCCCTATCCCTATGCTGGGCACCTCCTCATCACGATGCCAATCTTAGGGATTCCCTTATTTTTTGAGTGCGAATCCCTTAGATTGTCATCGCCTTTTGGCGTGTCAATCTTAGGGATAGGGATACGTTCGAGGCTGGTAAAAGCTCAGGCTTGCGCCGTGTCGGTCTTCGTTCGAGCCCCGGCAGTCCCGCGCGCGCCATGCCCTGGGCCCCCCGCGGCCGCCCCGTAGCCCCGAGACAGGCGGGGCACCGCGGGGGGGGCGGGGAGGAGCGGAGCGGAGGGGCGCGCGGAGCCCCAGGCGGCGACACGCGGGCTCCTCGGGCCCAGCACTCGGTGGTGATGGCCGGCAGGAGCAGGACACGTTCTCCTCCTCCTCGTCCCCATCCTCCTCCTCCTCCTCCTCCTCCTCCTCCTCCTCCTCCTCCTCCTCCTCCTCCCTCCTCCTCTCCTCCTCCTCCTCCTCCTCCTCCTCCTCCTCTCCTCCTCCTCCTCCTCCTCCTCCTCCTCCTCCCTCCTCCTCCTCCTCCTCCTCCTCCTCCTCCTCCTCCTCCTCCTCCTCCTCCTCCTCCTCCTCCTCCTCCTCCTCCTCCTCCTCCTCCTCCTCCTCCTCCTCCTCCTCCTCCTCCTCCTCCTCCTCCTCCTCCTCCTCCTCCTCCTCCTCGCGCTGGTCCGTTCGCTCGGCCCAAACGGACGAGGGAGGCTGTCTTGCTCGCTCGGGCCGAGCGAGCGAGCGAGCGGACGGACTGGGGCTCATGGTGGCACGCGCAGGGGGGAGTGGGGAGGGCTCTGAGCATGCACCAGATCGCATGGTGGGCCAAGAGGCATGCAGGCTCCACATCGTGCCAAGATGTGGGATGCTGGAGCGTCTACGCACCAAGCCGTTTCGCGGAATTCCCTGACCCCTGGGCCGACCACACGAATGAGGAGGAGAGGAGAAGGAAGGAGGAGAGGAGACGACACGAGAAGATATGAGGAGCAGGAAGAACGAGGAGGAGCGAGGAGGAGGAACGAGGAGGAGGAGGAAGAGGATCGAGGGGAGGAACGGAACACATCTCGGAGGAGGGGAGGGGCTTTAGATGTTCCACCAGGTCCTCCGGGTTGCCTCCTCTTTCGACCCTCTTCCTCATCCTCCACTCCCCTATCGATCGTCCTCCCCCCTCCCCTCGTCCCCATCGATCCCCTCTCCCTCGAAGATCGGGTAGAGGAGGGGGGGTGGGGCCTTCAAATGTTCCACCAAATCCGCCGGGTTTACCGACAAAGGTTCCGCGAAGGTGCCGTCGGGGACCTCTGCGCGGGGCGCGCGCCCCGCCGGTTGCGCCGACGCAGGGGGGGCTACCCAGGCTGCGGGCCTATGGTGCAGAGGCCGCGCTGCCCGAGGGGGAGGGGCGAGAGGACGAGGAGGGGGCGGAGGAACGAGGGGTCAAGCTAGCCAGGTCGGCCGAGTCAGAGGGCCCCGCCGAATCACACACACACACACACCATTTCGCAACGTAAGCAGCAATTGTCCCCCACGGTGCTGGGAGTAGAGCGCGCCCCCGCCTCTCTACCGCGAGGCGCTCGCGCGCGGCCCCGCCGCCGACGGCGTGGCGAAGGGAAACTGGCGCGGGCCGCTCGGTGGCGGGGGCGGCACAGCGGCCGACGGGCGCGGCGAGACCGAAGCGTGCGCCGAGCTGACGCAGCACTGGCACTTTCGCTGGCCATCGCTCGGACGTCCATTCCCCGTGTTTTTTGTTCGGTTTCGTGCGTGGTTCTTTCGCCAAATGATCAAGGATGCTCCTCGATGGTCCTCGCCGAAGGAAAAATGCACAGGTCCGAGCGATGCCAAGTTCACTCATAAGCTGCGCGGCACCTGGGCGGGGTCAGCCCTGCGCCCGCTCTCGCACGGCCCCGCGGTCGCTGTCGCCGTCGTGCGGTCGGGCGTTCGAGCCATGCGCCGCGCCCGCGCGGGAGCGTTATTTCCGAGCGACATGCGCACGGAGCTTGGGGCGAGGGCGACAAGTCGCCAACTTGCGCGGGCCTTCCAAAACCCGTGAGCGACAGATCACCGCCGCGTCGAGGCAGAAGCGCCACGTGCAGGCGCCATCCGCGCGGTGCCGAGGCGAGAGGGACATGTTCCGCCGCTGGCGCGTCGACGAAGCTGCGTGCGAAACATGTGCGCCGCACCCAAAAAGGGGAATTCAGTGCTCCAGAACAACGAGCGCGGCGCGGACGGGATAGCGATATTCTGGCCTTTCGTGCGGGATGCGCATGTACGTCCCATTCCTGTCACACAGTTTGCAGCGTCGACGGCAGAATGCCCGTGCCGATGCGTGAAACATTGATTGTGAATCCCGTCTGGCAAAAAGGACGGGGCCCCGTGGACGTGGCCCCTATGTGCCAGTTTCGTGGCAGATTGGATGTACAGAGGAGGAAGGCAGGAGGAAAGGGAGGAGGGAGGGGAAGGAAGGAGGGGGCAGGAGGAGGGAGGAAGGAGGAGAAGGAAGGAGGTGACGGAGGATGAAGGAAAAAAGGATGGAGGAGACTGGATGAGGAAGAACAAGGACCGAGGAAGAAGGACGAAGAGGAAGGTGACGGATGAAGGAGGAAGGTGTTCCTCCATCCCGCTTCATTCTGCATGACTCCTGCTCGTAGTACCACCAAGCGTCTCAGTAGAGCGGGCCACGCGATTCGCTTGAGATTCGTCACCGCTGAGTTCTCCAAGCGCCACAGTGATGGATGTGGCTCTTGCCTCAGCGTCGCGCATCAATGGCAATGGTGGAGGGCGTGCAGATATAAACATATGACTCTCGCGATCTCGCTGCATAGATGTGTCTTGCCCCCACCCCCCCCGCGTCGGGCTGTTTTCAAGATGCCGTTCTACGTTCGTCTGTTAAGCGAATAAGGCTTGCCACCGTGGACCCGAAACCGTGGGATATCGCACGCTCGACGTGCGCCGTGTGGAGAAATACGCGGGATGTAATACATGTAGTGCTACACATGGAATGCAATCGCAGCCCATGGAATGCGATCTATGTGGTGCAAGATGAGGGGTGTAACCTGCAGTGTGCAACAGATGCGCAGTCTACGGAGTTCAATTTACGAGTTGCAAGCTAGGTGGTGGAATACCCGTAGAGCAGGCTATGTGGTGCCATCTACGGGTCTAGTAATGCTGGTCCAGTCAGATCGGCTCGAATGCGAATTTCGATGCTGAGGTGGACAACCGCACGGGCAAGTACACGGCTGTACGCATCAAGGGTGCTGGCAAGGACGCTGGTGGTCCATCGAGCGGCGAGTCACGCCCAGTCTTCGAGACCACTGTGGGTCGACGATGCTGGTGCAGGCGGGCAGGTGTGTCCCAAAGACATGAGTATTTGCATGCAGGATTTGCTCATGTAGGTTACCGGCCCATCGGATTGCAAGGCCCAGGCAAAGGAGCAGCAGCGAGAATGACGCGAACCTGCTCTTCAGGGTAGGCGGAGAGGCTGACTGGGAGAAGGCCAGGGCCTTCCTGAGTTCGACGGGGAGCTACTGACCATGAAGGCCTCAGCGCTGTGATGCTCGGGCAAGCGTGGCCACGGTTCACTCGTCCTCGGCCTCCTCCAGGCTCGGCCTCTACTACGGTCGGGGGTGTGGGGGAGGGGGGGGGGGCGGCGGCGGGAACCCAGAGGGTGCGGTGACGCGGCGGCCTTGTGTTCCCTCTGGCGCCAGGGAGGATTCGCCCTTCCTTCGCTGGATGCGAGGGGACTTGCTCCTGCGGCCGATTAGGGCATGGTCCAGGGTCGCCACCCCCCCCCCCCTCATGCTGGCGCCCCCCCCCCTCATGCTGATGCCATCGGGCCCCCCCCCTGTGGGTGTGGTGTGGTGTTGTGGGTGTGGCGCGTGGCGTGGTACTGTGGTGCTCCAGGAGAGCTCCGGAGGTCGTAGTGTTCGCCGCCGCCGCCGTCGTCGTCGTCGGAGGGCTCTGGAGGTGGCCGCCGCCGCCGCCGTCGTCGTCGCCGTCGTCATCGTCGTCGCCGCAGCCGTCGGCGTCGTCGTCGTCGTCGTCGCCGTCGTCGCCATCGTTGCCGTCGTCGGCGTCGTCGCCGTCGTCGTCGCCGTCGTCGTCGTCGCCGTCGCCGTCGTCGGCGTCGTCGCCGTCGTCGTCGCCGTCGTCGTCGCCGCCGCCGTCGTCGTCGTCGTCGCCGCCGTCGTCGTCGCCGTCGTCGCCGTCGCCGTCGTCGTCGTCGTCATCATCATCATCGAGTCATCATCAACATCATCATCATCATCACCATCATCATCATCAGCATCATCATCATCATCAACAGCATCATCATCATCATCACCATCACCATCACCATCGTCATCGTCATCGTCATCGTCATCATCATCATCATCATCATCATCATCATCATCATCATCATCATCATCGTCGTCGTCGTCGTCGTCGTCGTCATCGTCGGCCCCCCCCATCCCATTAGGGGGGGGCCCGTGGAGCCCTCGGAACCATCCCATCTGGGGGGGGGGCCGTGGGCCCAGAGCCCCGGATCATGAATAACCGTGCGTACTGTGCATCGTGTTGGTCGGTTATGACTGCGGCGCTTCTGGGCTGCAGTTTCCCGAGATGCTCAGGGGGGGGGCGGCGCCAGGCTTAACATATGTGGTTTGAGCTGCCGATGGTCGCCAGGGTGCTTGCTGCTTGCGACAATGTCTGACAATCTGCTTCAGCTGCTCCCACACAGTCTCCCCTTCTGCTCCGCCGCCTGCTCTGGCGCCCCCCTCCATCGTCCTCCTCTCCCCCCTTCTCATCCCTCTCCTTCTCCTCCACCGTGTTCTGCCCATCCCCGCCCCCACCCTTCCTCCTCCCCATTCCTATTCCTCCGCATCTCTCCCCCCCTCCGTCAGTCACCCCTCCCCATCCTCTTCTCATCCCTCTTCCCCTTTACTGAACCTCCTCGTCCTCATATTCGGCCTCGTCCGTCTCGTCACCTCGTCGTCCTCCTCAGCCTCCACCTGCTGCCCCTACCCTCATCCTCCTCGTCCCTGTCCTTTCCTGTTCACCTTCTCCGCCTCAACCTGCGCCTCATTCCTGTCCTAGTTTCCAAGTGCTCCACAACCTCCCCCGAGAACAAAACACAAGAGCCCAAATCTCCCCTTCCCTTCCCTCTTTCTCCGCCTCTCGCTCCCCTTCTCTTCCTCCCCCCTTGCTCCCTCCCAACCCACACGCCCCTTCCTCCCCTCACTCTGCTATTCCGCTCCTCGACCCCCTGCCCCTCACCCTGACCCCCCCCTCTGTGCGACGGCTGAGCGCAAGGCGCTCAGGAAGTGCTCCATGCAGAGCGTCGTGAAGCTTTCGCCACGGGGGGCAGCCTGGACACGCGCCGCCATTCTTCACGGGGCGTGGGGGGGGAAGGGAAGATACATAAAGGTAGAGATAGAGATAGAGAGAGAGAGAGAAGAGGAAGAGATGGAGAGAGAAAGAGAGAGAGAGAGAGGGTGAGAATGGGAGATAGGGCGAGGAACAAAACAAAAGACTGGCCATCGAAATCAGGGAGGTGCTGAGTCAGAGTTCAAGCGAAAGGCAACCAGTACCGCCTAGGCAATACATCTGGCATGCTGGTTTACAGCAGAAGAGCATCATGATTCGCGCCAGCCGAGAGCAGCTCAAAGGCAACCAGTGGCGGCATGGGGATGGGCAGGCGCATGGCAGGCGCAACGCTGGCCGAAGACAACCTGGGGTCCTGGCTGAAGAAAGGCGGACAACCAGTGCACAGCAAGCAACCAGCATCTGATCGGCGACTCGCCAAGGCAACAGCCGAGAGGGACACGAGAATGGCAGGCCGAGGGCCGGCCGAAGACGAGCTGACAGCGAGCGGCAATCGACCAGGCTCCATGGCTCCGCCCGCGCCCCCTCGTCGAGCTCCTCCGCCCGCTCACACCTGGTCGGTCCCCGCTCGGCCGCGTGCCCGCGCTGCTGCAGGAAGGTGTCCTTGGGAGGCAGCTAGAGCGGAACAGGCTGAGGCGGCGCACGGGGCACAGCGAGCTGGCCACCTCCTCTGGTCCAGTGCCCCGGGGGTTCGAGGTCGAGGTCGGCCATGAAACATGACACCTTGACCACGAAGCATGCTGCGTACTTACCTTTGCCATGAGCCATGCCGCTGTGACCATACCCCTGCATGACCAGCTGGACACTCGCTCTCGTGCTGCCGTGGCCCCCCTCCCAAGGCACGAGACTAGACCTTCGAAGGCCCGCGCGGACTCGTTGCATCAGCGCTGCACCGCCTCCCTGGCGCGCGGAGCCTGCCCGTGGCGAAGACGGAGGCCTCGCGCGGGGTGGTCCAGCGCCGATCCATGATATCCGCGGGGCCCTCCAAAGGTCTGCGTTCATTGGGACCCGCACGCTCGCGCAGCTGCCCCGAAGAACGTCCACTATACGGAGAGGGCATTAGATCATTGGATGAGTCGTGCAGGGTCTAGAAGCGGGTGGGACTCCGATCGTGGATTGGCCACGGATATCATCAGACAAAGGAATCCTCAAGGGTCTGAAGCCTCCTGGGCACATTATGTGAACAACGCCCCCACCGTAGGCCTGAGGTCCGCGCGAACTGGTTGGATCGGCGCTGCACCCCGTCCCTGTCGAGCGGAGCCTGCTTTGGGCGGCGCTGGAGGCGACGCCCGGGCTGGTCCAGCGCCGATCCAAGAGATCCGCGGGGACTCCGAAAGTCTATGTTCAGCGGGACCCGCGGTCTGGACTCCAGGGCGCAACCCTGTGGATACGCGGTCGCACAGATACGTTCCGAGCGGAGCATCCGCGCAAAGACGCCCCGCATCTGCGGGGTCGAGGCCGCGGATACGGATATCTTCTCGCCTACGACATACTGTGCGCGGTGACGGCTGCGAATGATAGCAACCACAACAACGATCACAACGATCACTGTTGCCGATGCTGTGATCGTTACGACCGTGGTTACCGTCGATCCTCCTCGTCCTTGCCGTCGTGACCTCTTACCGCGATCGCTGCCGCAGCTCCGCGGCCATGCCCCCTCCCCCGATGCCTGCCGCTGCCTCCCTCCTCGGGGCTCCTGCAGGACGGCGTCCCGCGCCACCAGGGCGCGGAAGCCCCGCTGCAGCGTGGCGTTGCGGCACAGGTCCGTCCGGTGCCCGCGCACGGAGTTGGCGCGGGACAGCCGCCAGGGGTGCGGCGCCTCCGCGCCCAGGAAGCGGGCGACCGCCGCGGCGGGCTGGCCGCCCCGGCCGTGGAGGGCTCGCGCTCGGGGACTCTTGGGGCCCCGGCGACGCGCTGTGCCTCGCAGGCGGTCGGCGCGTCGCGCCGCTCCGCGGGGCGGCATGCGGAGGACAGCTCGGGACGGTGACGCCTGGGAGGTTTTTGGAGTCCCGAGGCGGTGCGGTGACAGACCGTGCGGTGACCTCGCAATCCCCGCAGACCTCACCGCCCGGTCCGTCACCGCACGGTCTTGGGGCCCTGGAGGCCCCTGTCGCCCGACACGTCCTCGGAGAACGACCCGACTCCCAAAACCGTGCGGTGGCCCCGAGTCCCCACCGACTCACCGCACGCTGTGATCACCACACCGTTTGGGGGCCCCCGGGAGATGGGGACGTGGACAGCGTGTCGCGCCAGAGCGTGGTGGCCCGGAGCCGGCGAAACGACACGCTAGGCCAAAACTCCTGACCGTAACGACTTTTCTGCTGTCTGTCGACTCGCGCTGGTCAGGGCCCCGTGAAGCAGGACTTTGCGAACCAAGACTTCGCCGGATCCAGCGGGAGAAAGTGGGAAGAGAAAATGCTTCGACCAGCGGCTGCAGGCTTCTCGGGCGTGGCTCATCAAAGTCCCCGTTGAATTACGGGGCCCTGAACTGGAGCTTGCACGATTTCTCCGGATTCATCTTGTTGTGTCTCTGCAGATCTACCTCGATCTACTCCGGATTGGCATCGACGTACGCAGACTCGCCTCGACTGATCTGGCTCGATGGCCGCAGGGCGACTGGAGAAGGGCCGCCAAGCCTTCATTGGCGACGCGCAGATGGCGGGGGTAGGGGGAGGGGGTAAGGCTTGAAGGAGGCTGCGTCTTAGAAGGCGCGGGCCTTGCATGTGTAGATGTAGGGCCGGCGCCTTCCAAGAAGCAGCCTCCTTCGAAGAAGCCTCCCCCCCTCCCCCTACCCCCCTGTGCGAGCCGCCGAGCCCTCAGGGACGCGAGGCGTCCATGAGGGGGGGGGGGCGGCGGCGGCGACCGAACGGACCTCCAAGGGGTCAGAGCGGTGGCCGGCACCAGACCGGGGACGGCCCTCCACAGCCCCGCGTCTCTCCGCCTCTTCCTGGTGAAACTGCATGACGCCGTGAGAGATTCTTGCACGACGTGGGCCCCCCCGGAGATATCTGGACCCCCAGGACCAGAGCTGCCCCGCCGTCGAGGTTTACCAGCCTGGAACACATCCCTATTCCTATGCTGGGCATCTCCTCATCACGATGCCCAATCTTAGGGATTCCCTTTTTTTTGAGGGCGAATCCTTAAGATTGTCATCGTCTTTTGGCGTGTCAATCTTAGGGATAGGGATACGTTCGAGGTTGGTAAGAGGTCGATGTCGCACCAGTGCTCCCCGCCGTCAGCTGCGGCGCACGAGCGGGGAACACCGGTGCGACACCGACCTGGCACACCGGTGTTCTGTCACGACGTGGACCCCCCCGGGACCGGAGCACCATCCCGACGGTTCTCCACGGACCCTCGGAGGCCCTCGCGGACCCTCGGACCGCGGACCTCCACGGTTCACCAGGGGCCTGGCGCGGACCCTCGGAGGCCGAACAAATTCACCAACACTTCTGATGCCATTAGTTTTTTCCGCGGCGAGAGGAGGTGGGGATTCTTGCTTGGGCTGCGCCTCGGCCCTGCGGTTGGGCACGTCCGGGCCTGCCCCATACGGCGAGGCCATTGGATAGGAGCAACCATTAGAGAAGGAATCCAAGGTCTGGTGGTAAGTGGAACTCCAGGCGTGGAAATGGCCGTGGACATCACCGCCGCCATGCTTAGATGAGGAATCCTCCTGGGTCTGATGGTTCCTGAGCCCACTCCCTGACGACCGCCCCAACCGTATCGGCCTCCCCCCCTTGTCCAGGCGAAGCCAGGACGAGGACAACATCGGAGGCGGACAAATCGCGAATCTCGGCGATCCGGCGGCTACGAGGGATCTGTCGGATATCGGGCGCCGCGGCCTTCTTGGAGCGTTGCGCAACGCTCCGAGAAGGGAGCGCAGGGAGACCGAGGTCAAAAAGGAGGGGGCAAGGAGGAGGAGGAGGAGGAGGAGGAGGAGGAGGAGGAGCAGGAGAGGAGGATCGAGGAGGAGGGAGGAGGGAGGGGGGATGCTCTGGAACGGACCTGCCCTCGTCCTGTAGCCCCGTCCGGCCTGGGCCCCCGCTCGGCGCGGCCAGCGGGCCACGGGCGCGATGCCCGCGTACACCGCGCAGGGCCTGACCCGGACGTCCTCCTCGGCGGGCCCGGCGGGGCAGCGCGTGGGAGCCCCCCACGCTCAGATTGGTGTTTGCGGCGTTTCGGTGCTCAGATTTGCTGTTTGCGGCGTTTCGGTGCTCAGAATGCTTGAGGATTCGGCTCCGGCTCCTGTTTGCAGCGTTTCGGTGCTCAAATTTGCCGTTTGCGGCGTTTCGTTGCTCAAACTGCTTCCCGCGGACGATGCCAAGACCTCAGGAGGCAACTACCTGGGAGGTCTTCGTCGGAGGGTCTTAACGGAGGATGAAGCCCCAGTGGGGGGGCTGTTGCCATGTTCGATTCGTCTGCACTTCGATCGCCCGCCTTTGGTGCATCAGCTCTTGTTGCGCCCGCTTTTGCTTCATCCGCTGTTGATTCGGCCGATGTTGTTTCATCCATTTCTGGCTTGCCCACTTGAAAACGTAGCGGGCGGATCCAAACGGATGAATCTAAACTGGGCGAATGAAACTCTGATGACATTGAAACTGGCCGAACTACAACCGGATTAATTAAGATGGGGCGAATCGGGGCGAATTTAAAACTGATGAGTTTTAAACCGGACACATTAAATACATGAAAATTCGGGCGAACTTGAAAAGCATGAACCAAAACATTTGCGCAGACTAAGGCGAATCGACCCAGGCGAATCAAAACAGGCGGCTCGAAACGAACGAATTTAAACCCGGGCGAATTTAAACCGGGCGAATTCAAGGCGAACTTAACCCTGAGAAATCCACACCCGGGCGAATTGAAACCAGATGAACTTGAACCGGTGAACCGAAACGAGTAATCGAAACGGGTGAATGGATTTCCCCAAAGTGTCCACCCCCCCCGCTTCCAACCGAGTGCGGTAGCAGAGTCGCGCGGCGACGCAACTGGATATGTCATGGCGTTCTTTGATCACGAACCAAGCTCCTGCCATCGGTGGGTACTTTCGAGGCCCCCCCCCCACGGGTCCTGCCGCACCACCAGCAATCTCTCGTCAGGTACGTCCTGTCCCGAGCTGGCGCACCCATAACTCCTCCCTTGCTATCTCTCGTCCTCCTCCTCCTCCGTGTCCTTTTCCTCCTCCTCCTCCTCCTCCTTTCCCACGTCGCGCTCCCCTCACTCAAAGAGTCCAGGTGCCAAGAAGGGTTCCCATGACAGGATACTTGCATTGATCGTCCACCGACTGTCTTACACTCACTGTCCTCATCCCCCCGCCGACCGCCACCCCTCCTCACACTTCGGGAATATCAGGCGCTACAGCCTCTCACGGTGATAAAACATGTTTTCCCGACCAGCCTGTGGTGTTGGGTCCTCGCATTGAAGACAGTCCTCTCGTCCTCAAGGGCTCCCAAATTCGCGCTTCGCGCTGCGCGAAGCGCGAAGTGCGAATATCTTCGCGCTTTCGCGCCGCCTCCCAAAGGAGAAGAGGAGGATGAGGATGAATCGGAGCCGAACCACGAAGCGCGAATAACTTCGCGCCCTCGAGGGCGCCCTTGGTCCTCCTCCTCTCCTCCTCCTCCTCTCCCCTCCTCCTCCGCTACTTCTGCTCTCCGGATCAATCCACCAATTCGGTACACCCTGACACGTGCCGTGGCCCCACGGTGCCTGCCACAGAAAGCCCCAGCGGCAAAATCCACATGCGTCCGCACGACCCATTCCGGTACAACCCTCACACACTCCGTGGGCCCATCGGAGACCCACCGAAGGCCCCAGCGGCAAGGCTCACTTGCGCCCGCCCGACCCATTTCGGCTAACCCGTCACACGCTTCGTAGCCCCATAAGGAGCTCCACCGAAGGCCACAGCGGGAAAGTTCACATGCGCCCGCACGACCCGCTTCGGCAAGACCCTCACACATTTCGTGGGTCCAAGGAGCCCCACCGAAGGCCCTAGTAATAAGGTCCACATGCGTCCGCACGAACGATGTCGGCAAAACCCGTCACACGCTTCGTGGCCTCATAGGGATCTCCACCGAAGGCCCCAGTGGGAAGGTCCCACTAGTCCGCACGACCAATTCTGGCACAACGCTCACACGCTTCGTAGGCCCATTGGGAGCGCCACCGAAGGCCCCAATGGGAGGGACCACTTGCGCCCGTCCGACCCGTGTCGGCGCACCCCTCGCACGCTTCGTAGCCTCATAGGGAGCCCCACCGAAGACGACTCTCACAACTGCGTGACCAACGCATGCGTGTGGCGGGGCCCTTCGCCGTAGCAGGGCCCACATGCCATGCGTCCGCACGGCCCATTTCGGCACACCTCTCACTCGCTTCGTGGTCCAAAAGGGAGCCACCGAAGGCCCTAGTGGGAAGGCCCACATGCGTCCGCACGAACGATGCCGGCAAAATCCGTCACACGCTTCGTGGCCCCATAGGGAGCTCTACCGAAAACCCTAGTGGCACAGTCCAACATGCGTCCGCACGATCCAGTTCGGCACACCCCTCACACGCTTCGTGGCCTCCCATAGGGAGCCCCACCGAAAGCCCAAGTGGTAAGGTCCACATGCGCCCGCACGGCCCATTTCGGCACACCCCTCACTCGGGAGCTCCACCGGAGGCCACGGTGTAAAGGTCCACATGCGTCTGCACGACCCATTTCGGCACACCCCTCACTCGCTTCGTGGCCCCATAGGGAGCTAGCTCCGCCGAAGGCCCAAATGGCAGGGTCCACATGCGTCCGCACGACCCGTGTCGGCGAACACCTCACACGCATCGTGGCCCCACAGGGAGCTCCTCTGAAGGCCCCAGTGGGACGGTCCACAAGCGTCCGCACGATCCATTCTGGTACAACCCTCAGACGTTTCGTGGGCCCATAGTGAGCCCCACCGACGGCCTCAATGGGAGGGACCACTTGCGCCCGCCCGACCAATGTCGGCACACCCCTCACACGCTTCGTAGCCTCATAGGGAGCCCCACCGAAGACGACTCTCACAACTGCGTTACCAACGCATGCGTATGGCGGGGCCCTTCGCCAGGATATCGTCTTGGAGGAGAAGAAATCGGACACCTCAACGACAACAGCCTCGGCAAGCAAGCGCATCAGAAATAGTGTTAGACAGGCAGGCTGATGAGGGCGGAAATGCGGGCAGCTACAAGATAGTGAGAAAACAAAACACACAACCTCCGGGACGCGTGCGCCACTTGCTGGAGAACATACATCGCAGCGGGACGGGGGAGACCTCACCATGATAAAACAAGTAGCACGCGTGCCATGACCCGTCACACACGAGGAGGGGGGAGGAGTGGGAGGGGGAGAAAGGTGGACAGGAAGGGGGCGAGGAAGAGGAAGAGGAGAAGCGGAGGAGGAGGGGAGCGGGGCTGGCTGGTCTGGGGCGCGGGGCTGCTGGAAGGTGGGAGCGGGGCCGGCGCGTCCGGGGCGGTGATCCCAAGAGGTGCCCCGCCGTGCCCGGGCGGTGATCCCAAGAGGTGCCCCGCCGTGCGTGCGGGCGGGGGGCGCGCAAGGCTGCTGGGGAGGGGGGCCGGCAAGCCTGGGCGGAGGGACGGTGCCGAGCCGTGCCGCGCGTGCGCGCGGAGTGAGCACGGTCGGGGCGGGGGGCGCGCTGGGCTGCCGGGATGGGATGGGCGGGGCAAGTCGGGCAGGTGGGCCGGAGGCGGGTGCCGAGGGGGAGCGGAGCTGCCTGGTCCGGGGCCCCGGACATCCGACGTCTCGAATTTTTCGAGACGCGGGCCCCCGACCTCCCGACCACTTCCCTGGGACCGGCTGTTCATCCCGAGTCGTTTTTTGACGGTCCCGAGGCCCGGCGAGGGCCCCGAGAGGCCAAAACCTATGAAAAACCTCTGTCTCGATTTTTTCGAGGCGCCCGATGTCTGGGGCGCGGGGCTGCTGGAAAGTGCGGGGCGAGGCTGGCCGGTCTGGGCGGAGGGCAGGTGCCCGGAAGGAGGCAGGGCTGACCGGTGCGGAGGGAGGGGAGGTGCCGCGCCCTGCGTGGGGGAAGACCGGGTGGGACTCTAGACACAGGGAGCAAGCTAATGACGATTTGGCCTCCGCCTCCCCCTTCTCCTTCCTTCCTCCGTCCTCCGCCCTCCCCCTCACTTTTGTTTGAGGACGCGTCCCTCACGATCGTACTACTTCATGTGCCCCCAATTGCAAATAAATCTTCGCAGCCCGGCTCGGGCCCAGAAACTCTCTCGAAAACAGTCTGGGCATGCTCACGGACCATTTCCAGGCTGTGTTGATGGTCGTCGCAGAAATGGCAGAGTACGCGAACTTCGAGCGTCGCCAATGGTATATAACTGCAGGGCAAAGCGTTTCCCAATGTTGCCCCGCCCACTGGAGGCCAATAAATGCGAAACACGTAGATTGAGGGAGGAGCAGCAAGAAAAGGGGGAAGGAGGAATCGAGAAGGCAGGTCGAGAGAGGAAGGAGGAAGCCTTGAAGAGGTGGCATTCGAATACACCTGGAAACCAACATTTGGTCTCCTGCAGTCGAAAGCATTGCTGAAAACACTCGCCGCATGTGAGTAGTTATCACCGTTTCGGTTCCTGTTTTGTGGAACACCGCGGGGGAGCGGTGGTTGCGGTAGGGGGGGGGGTGAAATTCAACGTATCAAGTACTGAAGGAGTCAACTCACCCATGCCACTCACATACATGTGAGAGTTCACGGGCGGATGGATGGGACATGAAGACCAGAGAATCATGCGTCGAGAGAGCCGGCTAGTCGCAAACCCTTCGATACGATGAAGACAGCAAGGTAGTGGACTAAAACGCCTGCAACCCCGCCCGAATGATGCGTGCAGGCAACCCGCCCGGCACGCCAACGTACAGAAAACCAGTGCGCCGCACCCCAGCCAGGCTTAGTGGCCTGGCCGGGCGACATGGCAGGGACAAGGTTCAGGCTGCGATCCACCGGCGAGAGCAAGTCTCGACCGGCTGGATGGCTGCCCTGTTGGGCTCGATCCACATTATGCGTATGAGCCGCGCTCCTGCAGGCGCTGCAGGGCACAATTGGTTTGCAGGCTTCTTCACCCCTTGTTTCCTCCTCTTCTGCTGCCTCCTCCTCTCGGCCCCCCGCCCCTGAGGAGTGCGCAGCCGCGGAGGGCGGTGGCGCCGAGGGTGGCAGGGGCACGATCGGGGCTTCCCCCTCCCCCGCAAGCTCGCGCGAGCCTCGCCCACAGGTCGGTGAGGCCCGCAGTGCTGCTTCAGTATTCCTGGACGCCGTGGCTCGTCGCCGCGCGGCCGCCGCTGCAGGTCCCGCCCGCCCGAGGCGGCCCGCGGCCGCCGAGGCCCCGGCCCCGCCCGTTCCGCCGCCGCCCCCACCTGCCGCCCCCTGCGGCGACGGCGGGCCGGCAGCGGCAGCGGCAGCGGCGTTCGCAGTCGGGCATGTCCTGGACGAAGTGCACGGCTTCAGATTTTGTCGGCGGTGCAACTTGTATTCACGAATCCGTTTCGGCTGTGTCCGCTCTCTCGGGGAAGAGTGCAAGGGGCCGCTGAAGGGCCCAGCAGGCGACGAGAGAGCCCGTCGGATACGTCAGATTCTCCGAGGTGTACACCCCACCAGCGGGGCGCGCCTCACCGACTAGCCTGTTTGCTAGTCCGCGTGGCGCCCTCTCCGGTCGCCGTACACTGCGCGCTGCGCGCAGGCCGTCCCCAACAAAAAAAACACCCTGAAACCCCGAACCGCTCGAAACTCCCTCGAACCACGATACCGATTCAAACGTTGACCCGTTCGAAATACGCTTGCATCGGG